CCACCCCTGCCGTTCGTCTCTGTAAGCCTCTCCTCCTCCTCCTAAATTGATTTTCACACTCATGAACGAGCTGCTGCACCAGCAGCACGGGGCTAATTTTATACTATTTTGCGCGGATAGAGGTACAAAAACACATTCAGTTTGTTTCGTAAATACACTTAAGCTATTTTCCTATGGGGATGTTATTGTTTTAGTGGTATGAAAAGATACACTGCTTTTACACCTTTTGAGGTATTAGGAGAGTCGAAATATTCTCAGGGCGAAATCATCATCATTTCTTTCTCCACATTTTCCCCAAAAAGGTTCCTTCCAGGTGAGACAAAAAGAGTAAACTTATTTTGTGGTTCCTGTCTCCACAAAATATGAGGTAGAAAAGCTGGACTTTTATCAGGGAAACTTGTATGGAAAAAACTGGTATTGTTTTCAGACATAAGATTGGTCACCCACTCATGGCCTATTGCCCCCTTCTCATCGTCTGCTGTGCGCCCACTCATTGCCCCGCGCATTGATGGCCACTTGCTAGGAGATTGCCCGCACATCACCCACACAACACCCACTCATTGCCCACTCATTGCTCACTCATCGCCAAAACAATGGTGGTCACTTACCAGTAAATTGCCACTTACAATGCATGACCACTTAAACAAGCAACTAATCACCTCACGAACAATTAATCACGTCGTCTCCACTCCCGACGCTGGTGCACTCGCGCGAGAGCACCACAGACTTGCAGACGGACGTGACAAGCATCGCGTTGTTGCGGCGCGTGCCCGCCAACGCGGCGTCGATGCTCCAGATGTGGCCGCACGCGCCATCATCGTCTTGCCTGCTGTTCACCAGGCCTACACGACTTGCCGTCCCTCTACCAACACCTCGCTCTCGGTCTCGTTCAACTCAATATCTCCCCGCATGCAGATATCTTCCTTATTCCCGCACGATGCGTCTCCGTCGTCTCCATCCCCCCGCTTGCGGTCCCTGCCTCTCATCTCTAACTAACACCCTCCGCAAACCACATCATCACCTCTGAAGACCTGCAACGGCTCCGCGCGCTCACGAAGCCTCTTCCACCTGCGCTCCCCAGTCTGTCCTCCTCCTCGCCCAACCGCGCCGAGGCGTACACCTTCATCCACCCCTCCCTCAACATCTACTTCGCCGACCTTTTATCTGCCGCGCGGCACCATCCGCTGCTCGACGGCAGGCTGCTCACGCTGCGCGTGCACTGGGACGCCACGGCGCTCGTGCGCACGTACCGTGTGCTCTGTGGGTGCAGCCTCGGCGCGGAGCTCATCGCGAGCGTCGCTGCCGCCACGCCCAGCGAGGACACGAGCGAGGACGACGACGAGCTCTGCACCGCTTACGCAAACGTGCACTTGTGGAACGACAACGGCGGCGACGGCGAGGACGCGTGGCTCGGCGCCGAGATCCACGCGGGCCGCCGCAAGATGGGGAGCGTGCGCAGCGTCGAGGTACACGTCAAGGGACCTGACGTCGACGCCGGGGCCGATCATGCCTCCCCTGGTCGCGCACACGACGGGCCGCCACGCGCCGCGCACGGCGGCGTTCGCGAGCCACGACAGCTTCGCGCCGAGCAGCCTCATGGCACCGCTGCCGTCGGCGCCCGAGGTGTGGGACGTGAGCGAGATCGACGCCGAGCGGGTCTTCCTCCGCGCGGATTGTCCGCTTGCATTGCCCGACCCACTCGCGTTCGCGGGCGCTGTTCAGGCGACCGGCAGGTAGATCAGTGGGCGACCAGTGGACGACCAGTGGACGTGTCAGCGGGCACACACAGCGACGCCAAAAAATAGTCAATGTATTTTTATTACAGTTCTTTTGCGACAAGAGTCAGCTCTCCTATTTGAGCAAATAGATAGTAGATGCATACTTTTTTTTGTACCTATCCCAATAGAAAATATATCTATTATTCTATATATGGATAGCCCAGCAGTATTTGTACCTCTTTTTGCTGCAAGCAGAACAGCTTTTTGCAACAGGATTCACCAAAAAAGGTGTCTTTGTTTGGCTCCTATTTCCAGGTTTTACCTATCGTATGTTTTTACCAGAAAGTGTTCGGTCTTTTTGGCTTCTATTCTCATAACAATTTTTGTGCCCCTTTCAGCTGAAAATATTAACTAATTAGCCCCGTGCAGAGCATGTGCTCGCCCTTGCTGCACTTCTCATACGACACCATTGCTGCCGTCTTGGAGGCAGGCCTGTCCTCGCACGTGCTCTCGCTGCACGTTCACATGTCCCTCGAAGAGTGCTTTGCGCTGCTCACCATGAGCAGGCCCTGCCTCATCTTGCCTGTCCTTGCCGGTGCCGGCATCAGCATCGCAGCTGTGCAGAGTGAGTCACTGCTGTTCACACTTGTGTGCCTGCTGCGTGCGCTCAGCTTCCCCAAGGGCCAGCCCCTGCCGCAGATGCGCATGCCCCCCTCCGAAGGCCCACTGCCTGTGTGCTTGTGCTCAGAAGGCCAGCCCCTGCTGCAGATGCGCAGCCTCTGTGCTGCGCGTGGACTATTTTGCCACGCTGAGGCCAGTGAGTGGTCATGGACATAGACATGGACACACTGAGTGTGTATGGGAATGGGAATGGGGGTGGTGGGGGTGGGAGTGGAGGTGGAAGTGGGTTTGGGGGTGGCATTCCCGAGCCAGTCTTTGAGGAGCATGCAGTGCAGTGCATGTTCTGCCAGTTGGTGTATGGTAATGGAGACAGGAGCTTATGGCTCAGCTTGCTAGTATCTGCTCATTGTCATCACTGACAGCAAGAATGTTTCTTAGTAGCTATTAATAGTAAAGTCAATTGAAGTTTATTTGTGTAAAACATTAGCATTTGGTATGCATGAAAGCAGAGCCTGTGTAGCCAAATTCTCATGAACATCATGCTTGCTCAGTCTTATAAGCCATGCATAGATGCTGCAAACTATATGGTATTATATAACTAAATAATATATATATGTTATGCAAACTATATAAACCCTACAATCTTGACTAAAGTTGGCCAGATTCAAAAACACCACCAATCTATATATACTCTTGCTAGGGATTTGAAATGGTTTAGTGTAATAGAATGGTTTTCAGATTGTACATGGATATATTTAACATTACAAGAGATTCACTAAAAGTCTGATGAGCCGTGATCGAGTGGTCATCGGCCGCCGACTCCCAAAGCCTCTGTGATGGCTACGCGATCCAACCAGCATGGGCCGGCCCAGAGCGCTCTATTTGCTGGCTCCTTTTTGTTAGCTTCTTATACGATGGAACTTGCGATGCGACATCACAGCGATTGCATCATGGATCAACTGTGTTTCTCGGAAGATACCCGTGGCACTCACATATGAACCGCTCGCAGGCCCTCCCCCCAACCCCACCATTGAAGTACCTCATCGGAAGCATAAAGTGGCTCAGTCTTGTGCATAGCTGCAGGCTGCTTTTAAGTCTAAATCTTAGGCTGGAACTAACCAGATAGCTCATAACTAGGATTTGCTCTCCATACTAACATGCAGCAGGCCTTTCCTTCACCAGCTCGGCGCTTGCATTGCCATGTCCCGCATAAAACTCATTGTCAGCATACATGCATCAATCAAGGGGCGAATCGCAGAATATTGAAACACTGCAATGAGCTGTACATCACAGTTCATGGTCATACCAGGCAGTACGCGCATCCGCGCACCAGCCAAGAGAGGTGGTATAAAAGGGCTCTCAAGTCCTTAGTGGCTCTTTAAGCTTGACGTCTCGCCAGCACCTTTCATTTTTACTTTCTACTCATTACTTCTTGATTTGCTATGTCCTTCAGTGGCCAGTCCGCCCTCGTTTTCGCCTTCTTGCTCGTGGTATCCGCCCGGCAGAGCTTGGCTGTCTGCGCTCCGGGTCAGATGGGTGCGTATTCCACGTCGCTGTCTTCTCTAGTCATGGCTCATATCACCCTTGCAGCTGTTGGGTCCGAAATGCTAGTGGTCAGCCCAAGCCCAGTCCATCTTTTAGTGACCTGATTATTAACTGGATCTTGCTGCTCTGCGCTTATTAGCTTCAAATGGTACGTTTTCAAGTGTTTCGCTTGAATCCACAGCTCACACCTGCGTCCACAGCTTATTGGACCTGCCCGCGCCATCGACGAATACAGTGGCTGCCTGATGGCAAAAAATCGCAATCTCATCTCGCATAACGGCATCACACAGGCTACGGGCCAGATGTGCAAGGGCGGATATGCCAAAGGTGCATCGGTTATGTGTGATGGCAGCAGCAAGTGTGTACCTTCAGTTGAGCCCCGCGAAGTGTGTGGCTGACTCCTTCGCTACCTCTTAGCCCTACCGCAGCTGTCGATACGCAGGGTCGGAGTTGGACGTGCTCTCTGACGAACGACGATAGCTGTGACATCAGGGGTTCTAGAGGACGGTTCTTGTTGAAGTGCCTAGTGGCTCTGGCTCGGCGTTCCGCCCGGCATGGACTTAAGGTGGACATCTTAGATTAGGCGCTGCTAATATGTAGACAGTGATTGGACAATCGTATGTAGTGCTCCCACGCATGGACCTCTTTATGGCAGGCTTCCCCATTCTAGTGGACTCTCAATTTTGCTTCCTTTTAGTATATAAGGACTTCTCTCGCATCCCCACTCTGCGTGCTCTTTCCCTTTGCACTCAGAGTAAGTCCCTTCGTCACCCTTCGCGCAGTATGCACATATGCTTACACCCTGTATAGCTAATCCCCCGTGTGTATTAGGTTAGCTCTATACAGTGTGCTCTTTCCCTTCACGCTCAGACTAATCCCCCGTGTGTATTAGATCGTGCCCGCGTGCCACTCGCCAGTTCTCGCTTGCACAGCCCAGTTGTCATATCACGACAATAGTTCTCAGTTCTAGCTCGCTGCACCCGTAATCAGAGTCGAGGTGACCGTAACGCACATCGGCTCGGAATGTTCATGAGCGCCTTCCAGATCTTGCATGTACTGGCAGAGCATACAACTGCCATCTCTGTGGGGGTGTGGCAAAAATGTATCATGCATGCCAGTGCAGACGACGCCCACAACAGCGCAGGAGCTGCTCCCGCATTTAGCTCTGAGGATTAATATTGAATATCAAGGTATGGAGTATCGTGCAATAGATACTAGTGATTTGACTGGCTCGGCTTCAAGCCAGCAAGCGGGCCAAGCCGAGCCTGCACAAGCTGGGCCAAGCCGAGCCAAAGCATGCCGGCTTGAAAAGGCTTTTGGCTTGGCTTGGACGTCAAGCCAGCCAAGCCAAGCCGGCAAGCCGCGGCTTTAGATAATAAACTTGCTGTATGTAGTACTGCTGTTAGAGTAATTAGCGATAAATTCCTAAAATATTACATTGTGTTCTCCTCTACTGCATCTGTCTTCTAATGTAGATAAATCAATAGATTATTAATAAGACTGAGCCTCACCACAAAGAAATATAGTGGGGGCGCCAGCGCTTGCCCCGCTTAACCAGCTGCCATGTAACATTGCGAGCCCCTGTCCGAACAGCTTTTCAAGGTTCTGCCAACATGGAAGGAGAGGCTTGTTCAGGTGGGTGCACCTGCTTGCAAAGGCAGCGCCTTCCAGTTCAAAACGGCAGGGCGAGTGCTAGAGGTCCCTAGCTGCCCGACACCTGATGCCCGCTTGGCCACCGCGTCGAGGCGCTGCGCGACATGC